ATTCCATAGTACTTTTCCCTAAAACCAATATTCTTTGTCCTAGAACATTCTGGCAAAATTAAACCCGACAACAATTTAACTTGGTTTGTGAAAAGGAGTTCATTGAGGTCGGTTTCTGTATAACCCATTTCGATTTAAACACCATTGTATTGTGCTAGTTCATCCAGTGATACCCATCATATCCAAACTTTAGGCGTTGTCTTTCAAAACAACTCTTGGCTTTAAATTAACCTTGCGTCACAGTATTTTTACAGTTCTCGTTGATAATTTGACTTTTCTTTCACACCCAGCCAAATTCCCTGTCGGGCTAAACTTTTAAAACTTCTTTATAACGGACTGTGCCGTATATTTAAGGATAGCTAACCGGTTTGAAATAGCGCTATAACTATTTCCCGACTTGTGGAATAATTTTTTTTCTCAAGTCAAGGCTAAGTTCCTTTGTCTTCAACATCGTTTTGCTAACGTAAGAATGACATTGGTGACACTTTATGCTCCCCGTGATCTTCTTTGCAGGAATTATCACAAATATTCTACTGAATAAATAGTTCAGAACGCGTCAGTGATAAAATAATTATGTAAATTACTTAGATGAATCAATTTAAAAAGATATTATCTACTATACGAATAATTTTGTCTCTTTTAATTTTGCATAATTCGCTCTCAAATGTGTTGTATTTAACCTATTGTTCTGAATACTGAGTTTTATATTTCTTTCTTTATGCTTATTAACATATAAAAAACGGGCATTACATTCTGAGAAATGGATCAAGATATTCAAAATTGATGGGCGTACAGATAATCTCGTCATTAACTGTATCTATCTTGTCCTTTTCATGTCTATATCTGTTCAATACTATTTTCCTGACTTTTTATATGTATTTAACAAAATATTCTCATTATCTATCTATCTATCTATCTATCTATCTATCTATCTATCTATCTGTCTATTCTTTTTAATATTTGGAACCTGATGGTATGCTTGCAATTTTCCTAAAGAAATGAACTCCTCAACTATAACCTTTTTTCACGATACTCTACAATAAATGACTTACTGCTTCTTACTTCCAATTTGTTGAAAAATCTTCTTTAGTTCCTCTCGTTAAGAATTATTTGAAACTCTTAATCCTCTGAATTATCGTTCTATTAATCTTTTACCCCAGTTTGGTAATATACGAGAAACTCTAATCTACTCTGAATTGGTTAAACATCTCACTTAACACGGCCTTCCCTCCGATAAACAATATGGCTTTCCTTTGTCTAGGTGAACTGCCGATATATTCACTGTTATTAGTGAATTTATCATTAAATATGAAGGCGAGGTTTGGCCGTGGCTTTAGATATCTGTGACGGATTTTGATATGCTGGTTTTCTTTACCAGCTGAAGCGTTATCTTTTCTCTAACTGAATATTTAGCTTAAGCCAATCGTTCTAAACAAATCATGTAATAAAGGCTGTTCTGAACGGACACACTTCAACATTATTTCAAATTAAAGCAGTGCTCCCTAGTTCTGAATCCTTGGACGTACGTTGTTTCTTATCTTCATTAGTTCCCTACTAGATATTTATACTGATGACACAACTATTTAATCCTATCTTTAATACTAATTCCGATAGGTGTGACAAAGAAAAAAATGGTTGCTGCTCTTGAAAATGAATTCCAGTAATTGTTAACTGGCGCAAGAAATGAGCTGTAAATTTTAACACCTCCAAACTGAATATATCTTTTAATCATCATAGAGAACGAATTTTGACTTCCATCAGCATGGCCGATGATATCCCGGGGAGTAACTCATTGCACCTTGTGGATTTTATGTTTTCCATTGGTGTTAAGTGGAATGATTATATTGAATCAATTGCTAGATCTGCCGCTAAGAAAGTTGGTTCATTGTGTCGGGCTAGAAATGTTTTCCCGCCACAATCCTTTTAAAATGTAATACTCGACAGCTTTCCTGATATATAGCACGAGAATTTTGACAGAATGCAAAGGGTTTGTTGTGTTATCGGTATTTTCCCACCGCCGTAATGTGTCTTCCTACTGTCTTTGGGTAATTATTTTCATGACTTTTATTCTGATGAACTCTCTCCCTTGTTACATTGACCAGATGAATTTAAGCGTGCTATTCAATCGGCAAAAAAATCTCATCGTTTTACTGTTGAAATCGATAGATGAGACCGTAAGTCGTATTTTCTCGCTCTTCTCACCTGTGAAACTCTATTCCAGGTTCTTGATTCACTGCTCCATGCGTTCTAAAAAAAAAATGCAAAATCAATTACCATCTTCTGTCTTTCTGAACTTTGTTCTTTCATAATTCTTTCTTTCACTAAAGTCGTCTCATTCTTTTTCACTCTCTGTAACCCATTGCATCTTAGTAGCATATTTGACTTGCTTGTGTGAATTGATAAAAACATCGTTGTTCATACTTATATATCTCACTAAATTCATATCTATCTATCTATCTATCTATCTATCTATCTATCTATGTACAACGCTCTTTCCATATGTTTGTTTAAGCCCATACTCCTCATTATTTTCATATGTAGCTATCTCCACCCGATATCTATCTATCTATCTATCTATCTATCTATCTATCTATCTATCTATCTATCTATCTATCTTCTTGTTTGTAGCAATAAAATTATCAATCACAGTTTATACTAATCGATATATATCTGTATTTATATTTAGATTATGTAATGTTTAATCCAGAAAAAAATAAATGCAACGCCAACCACAATTTAATGTCTTCCGGACCTTGTACATTTATTGTCCTTCCTCACTAACGTCTTATCTTTCTTTTTCACTTTCATTAACTGCTTACGTCTTAGTGGCATTATCGCCTTGCTTGGGGTCAAATGATTAAAAAAACTATCGTTGTAGAAACATATTTATCTCAGGATTTTCATATCTATCTATCTATCTATCTATCTATCTATATATATATATATATATATATATATATATATATATATATATATAATTTCAGCTAGAATATACTTGTAAAAGGGCTCTATGAATAAAGAGAAAAGGAAAACGTTCTTAACCAACGCGTTTTGTCCTCTGAGGGATTTTTTATCAAAGTGGACGAAACGCATCGGATTCTTAGCTGTTTTCCTTTTGTGTTTATTTTTATCTATCTATCATCTATCTATCTATCTATCTATCTATCTATCTATATATATATATATATATATATATATATATGCTTGTTCGTCTTTATCAAATTGTCGATCATACGCTGCACGTATCGGTTTATATATATATATATATATATATATATATATATATATATATATATTCCCTAAAAGATGCAGCGATATGTTTTAAATTTATCAAATAAATCGTTTTTATCAAAAGTTATTTACTATCTCCTGACGAAGTCAATAAAAATATTAGAATATATGTGTATATATCTATGTATGTGTCTTTGTGTGTGTGCCTATATATATATATATATATATATATATATATATATGTATGTATATATATATATATATATTATGTAATATTTCACCTAGATATCACTTATTTCTTACGTTTACTAACTTCTTGTTTCATCTTTGTTCAAATCTTTCAGATTTCTAATAAATATCAAACACAGCTTCATATGACATAATTCATTATTTATCTTTATAAGTTGTATAAAAGATTAGGTGTAATGTTTTCTTAATAATAAATATTAATTATCACCTCTTATAGAAAGAAGGAGATAATAACAGATTTCTGAATTATTGTTTAAAGAAGGGCACACATCAGATAGGAAATTTAGAGTTTAAACATATGTGTGACATCTCAACCAAACCAAAGTATATTTTGACTCTGCAGAAAGATTTAAAATTCTGACATTTTGGAGCTGGGCGTAACTCAGACATTTTTTAAAAAATTAGAATGCATATCAATTGATAATATTCTGATAATTATCCTCGTAAACCTTTTTCTTACATTAAGAAAAATTCGTAGAAATCAAGAAAATTAATTCAATGATGTAAACAACACGAAATAACACTTTTTATAACGAAGACAACATACATCGATAAAGTGGCAAACGAAACAAAGCAGAACAAAGAAGGTGACGTGCGATGCATTCTCCCCTGACCACAATAAGTTAGAGTTTAAGGTTTGATTTAGTTTCACTATTCTCCTTCACCATCAACGCACTACAACGGAACATGAGTAACTACATTATTCATTCAATGCACTATATAAGATGATTTTTCTCACTAGAAGAAAATCAGCGAGAAAACGCGTGTTGTTATGTATGTTTTACTTCTTCTTTTAACAGAAAAAGAAAGAAAAAGTAGACGATGAAATTGATTAAGGACAATATATGCAAAAGAAGAAAATGCAAAAGAAAAAAAAAAAGAAAACTAAAACTGAGGCGTCAGTCAGGATTGAACCCCTTTATGGTGTTGGCTTTCTTTCGGAGTCCATTAAGCTGTCACTGGAATACTTGGCCGCCTCGCCAAAAAATAAAAATAAATGAAAATAATAATACAAGCATTTCCCAGTCGAAATGTAAAACTGTCTTCTGCTTGAATGGAGAAAGTTGGTTTTGTGTCTCGAGAATCAGGCGGTTGAACCAGTCGACACAACCATTGATGTCGAGTAAGAAGATTGACGCGGTGTTCAGCAGAGAAATGAGAACATAATAAAACACACAGACATGAGACCGCACGCAGAAACACACAAACACACAAACACACACACACACACACACACACACATATATATATATATATATATATATATATATATATATATATATATATATATATATATATATATATATATATATATATATATATATATTGTGGGTGAAGCATGGTTAGAAGATTAGCGACAAAAAATATAAAAATCATGTACATATGTGCGCAAACACATTTTACATAGTTGTGTATTTGTACAGCAATAGCTCTTTAATACATGTTTCGCTGAACAAGACTGACGATGTAAATTTATTTAGATTATTTTATTATACATACAACGGTGTTATTTTCTGGACTTAGATAGATAGATATGAACTGAGATAGATAGATAGATAGATAGGAACACACTGCGATAGATAGATAGATAGATAGATAGATAGATAGATAGATAGATAGATAGATAGATAGATAGATAGGAACACATTGCGATAGATAGACAGGAAAAGATTGCGTAGATAGATAGATAGATAGATAGATAGATAGATAGATAGATAGATAGATAGGAACAGACTGCGATAGATAGATAGATAGGAACAGACTGCGATAGATAGACAGGAAAAGCCTGCGATAGATAGATAGATAGATAGATAGATAGATAGATAGATATGAACTGAGATAGATTGATTGATAGAGAGAAAGAGAGATATAGAGAGAATTAAACCGAGAGATAAAGAGAGAGACACCGACAACAACCGTTATTTCAAACATGTTTCGTTGAATATGAGACAAGGAACATTTATAATTAATGCTGTATTTGTTTTTTTTTAATATTCTTACATTTTTCCATTTGGTCGTAGTAAGGGACTGTAAACATTGTCCCTAGTATCTATTGTGCCAAGCGCTTTTGGACGTTTTTTTTTAGTCAATTTCAAGCGTTGGAGGAGGGTGTTAGTAAATATTGTTAATATCGCTCCGTGTTTGCCTTTTTAAGATGATGTTTGTGTGATGTTGAAATCATAGTAGCGTTTATCGCTAGCCACGCGAATTAAGCGTGGCTGGAAATCGAGTTGGCATCTTCCAATATGAAATAAAACATCCACAAATCATTCCCGTGGCTGAATAAGGTGTGAATTATACTCGTTGCCAGATCTTTTATGCGAGGGTGCCTCTCTCACAGTGAGATATCTTCGGTGACCGGACCTATGTAGGATGCTAATGATATCAGCGAGAATCTTCCTTAGTTGTTAATTCTGGTTGCTTATGTGCCTTTTTATGTCACTTTGGTCAGGGAAGTGACACGTGAGGTATCAAATCAAGGATGTGGTGGTATGACCGATATAGCTAATTGATTTATGAGAAGTCTTGTACTGAAATTACTGAAATTGATACACTATATTGGTTATCGATAGTTTAGATTTGGTAGGGTTATTTTGATTAGTGACGATGAGGGGAGCGGTTTTCCATTTTCTGTTATATATTATAAGTTTTACATGTTTCTCGGCATTTTTACGACAAATATGGTGTTTAATGATTCGTCGTATAGCGAATGCATCCTGCGTGCAGTAAAATATGTTGTTCTGTCGCTGTATGTTATTTTATTAACGGTGTCATCTATTTTTTGTAAGAATAATTTTATTTTTTTATCGATGATCTAATTGAGAAAATTATAATTAAATAATGTTTGGTTTATTTGATTTAGTCCACTCGATAACAAACACACTAATATTAAATACATATCCCATTGCAAGAAATATCAACATAAAAACAGAAAAAATAAAATCAGATCGATTCTAAAAAATAAAAAGAAAACAAATATTTTCTTCTCTATGTCGCGTCTCTCAGGACGTTGGCGATCATGACTCTCAATAATTTCCTTACCATTGTTTCTCTTAATAAATTTTGTCTGTTTTTTATCTCTCTTAAATCTTGTTTCTCCATAAATTATTCAAATTCGCTCTGTAGGTTATGCATTGTTTTCTTGTTGCTTTCACTCTGTTCTGTGAATATCAAATTTTCCATTCCTTCTTTCCTCATTATGTGCCCTCGGAATTTCATTTTTTTCATTTCTAACGTTAATTATAAGTGTTCTTTTTTACATCTTCTCTAAAATGCTCAGTTCACGGTATTCTCAGCATCATTCTGTACAGTCACATTTCTGTTGCTTCAAGTATCTTCTTCATCTGTGAGGAGATTGTCTAGCATTCACTGCCATGTAGAAGAACTGATATTACGTTACAGTTCAGTACTCTTTTCTTGTTTCTAACGATATTGTTCTCTTTCGTAATATTTGCGTAAGACATAATTTCATGAAAGTAATGCGGACAAGAAAATAATTTTTACAGGAAGGGAAAACGATTAGAGGAAGAATTACGAAGGTGAAAAATGAAGAAAAATGATCCGAAGATAAGAAGAACAAAAGTAAATGTAACTGGGAAATGATTGAAAGGAGGAGGAAGAGAATGTTGCGGAAAAGAATCGATTGAGAAGAGATGAACAAAGGTGGGTGAAAGAAATAGAAAATATAAGGACAGTTGGGGTAGTTTAAGAACAGGTTAAAAGAAAGAGGGATATCTGGGGGAAAAGAATAAAAGAAATATGTTATTTTCGGGGCGAGGGAAGAGACGAGAAAAGGAGAGAGAGAACAAAGAGAAGAAAACGAATAAGAATAATATAATGATGCAAATCAGAATTAATATTGAATGAAAAAAAAATGAAGACGCGAAGATGAAAAAAAATTCTCCGAAGAAGAAAAAAAACAAGTGAGAAACGAGAAGAAAATACACCAGGAAGGAGATATTGAGAAAGAAAAAGAAACGAATAAAAATATATTTTAAGGGAATTGGATCAAAGAGTAGGGGGCACATGAAAAAACAAGAAAGAATGTAGAAAAAAGAATATGAAGAGAAGGAGAAAAAAAATGAAGAAGAAAAAGTCAATAACAAGAGACGGAAAAGAAGAATAGTAAGAGGTGAAGAAAATAGAAGAGAAGAAGAAGGAAAGGAAAGAGCTAAGATGAATGAGACTATTCAAAAATTTAAGGACAGCAAAGCCTGTATTTTAGATAACGCTGAGGACAAATTACAAGACGGACAATTTATGACCAGGAAAAGAAGACGGTGGGATACAATAAAAGCCAAGTAAAAGCAAAATATAAATAAAAGACAGCTAAAAATAAAGTTAGGTCTGTCTCGAAAGATCACTGGATACTCGCCCCAGTGACATCGTCTTTGGTTTTGTAGCCCTGTTCCAAATTGCTTCCTTTCTAGTTTTCACGCTCCTTAGATGACCTCCTGTTTTGGTGGAAGTGTTTACAAGATATAAAAATGTCTAAAACCGATGAGACACAACGTGTTGTCTTTGAGTTGTTACTGGAGAAAAAGAAACGACAAATTGGGAAATTTGCTATACGTTTCCCTTCTGTGTTGAAGTGAATATATACTATCATCCTGTCTCTTCCTCTTTAACTTTCCCAATCTGTATTTTTGTTTTATCCTTAGGAGATGAGCCAGGATCAGGACAAAAGATTTGCGAGTAGACACTGGTGACGCTTCTTGCATCTTTAAATGACATTTGTCTTTATACCTACAGCAGAATCAATCATAAATTTATTATGAAGTGATTTGTAGTATTGCTTATCAGTCGAACTTTTCAGACATTTTTATTCGGAGGCAGAATAATAATAATAATAATAATAATAATAATAATAATAATAATAAATAAACCAATCTCATTGGTTGGGCGTGCTCTTGGATCTTCTTTGAGAATCGTCTTAAAGCTGGTAACTTGAACATAATTACCCCTTGGCGGTCAAAGTTAAAACGCATATCTCTACCAATTTCAATGAATACGAGTAAAATTTCATATCGGATCGGCCGTTTGTCAGTGGAAAGTGTCATGATGCCATTTCTAACCTTAGGTCCCCGGGCGGGACCCGGAAAGAAATGTGTAAACGCCAGAAATCAAAGAAAATAATAATAATAATAATAATAACAACGAATCACAGATTTATAAGCTATACAATTTGCGATGGATAAACTGTCGCATTTTTATATATTTTTTCAATTTCGCGCATGCGCCCCTCTTGTTTTTTTTTTTTTTTGTCGACTGCGCAATATGGTACGGTCAGCTGGGCACCGTTTGCGAGGAAAAGAGCACCATGAAACAATTCAATTCGTGAAAAATTTTAAAATGGCATGCTGTACTGCTTGGCATTCGCGCCGGAATCCCCAATACGAACATTTCAAAGTGTCTCAATCTGAGAACAGTGCAAAGGATTCTGAAAGAGTTGGATGATATATCCACTCAACATCATGGTATTCGGAGAGATCACTAGCGATGTTATGCCTTCATTCATCTTCCTACAGGGCCTCAGACTCAACACGGAGGCCTACATCAATTGCCTTGAGGAGGTAGTCTTGCTCTGTGTCACGTGGGTGGCTGCTGGGTAACACTATGTCTGGCAACAGGACTCTGCAAAATGCCACACCAACATGAGAACTTAGATATGGCTATCAGAAAAATTTTGTGACCCCATAACCCCTTACATTTAGTCACCTAATTCCTCAGACTGAAAACCATTTGATTATTATGTGTGGGCCGCTGTTGAGTAAGCGACCAACAAAACCTCTTATAACACCAAAGATGAAATGACGGCAATGATTATGACAGCATTCACTAACTTAAACAATGTGATGGTCCAGAAAAGTTGCAGAAGATTTCGATGACGTCTGGAAATCGGGGTTGAAACCAATGGCTATTTCATTGAATAAATTTGGTCTTTCGTATTTCAAAATATTTTTGTGTAATTTTGGTAAATATATCTGTTAAAATGAGATGTCAGTATTATTTTCATTTTTGTGTTATTTAGACGACAATTTATACATCGCCTTATGTAATTCGCATGCATGTGATTCCCTTTTTCTACGTCTTGTCGTCACGCCACTTAGCAAGCGTTAATAGAAGTTCCCTGAAAGAAAAGGTGAGTAATGCCACAGACATTTATGACATGACAACCTTTCATAACAGGTAATGAAAATTTGATTTGAAAAAAAAACCCAAAAAACGAAAAAGATAGTGGTTATGACAAAATGTGACATCGATATTTATAACAGATTAAATACTATATATTTATGTATATGTGTATATAAGTAAGCATAGATAGATAGATAGATAGATAGATAGATAGATGTTTTAAAGATCCCGCCTCCGATAGCGCGAGATATTTTATTTAATGCCAATTGTTTTGGGTGTATATTAATATTTGTGCTTTGATTCAGATACACCAACGATTTGAACTATCCTATTTTCTTATATGCTCTTCTCAAAGAATCCGTTTCAAAATGTGTCAGCAATCTGTAAGTGACATTCTAACCTATTAGTCCAAGTCTTAACTTATTGCCAATTTTCAGAACCAATTAGAATTATTAATGTATCATCCTAATTACTAATCACATGTAACAGTTAACAATATATTTGAAGTAAACTAATATGTACTAGTATTTGTACGGCAATTGCAGTGTAGGCAATGGGTTAAATAAAAAGAAATTATGTTGCTTTCCTCCATAGGAACGCAAGGCCGCATGTAGTCAGAATAACTCATGAAAACGTGTTGGCCTGTGCTAGGTAACCACCATATAAACCTGTAACCTTGATATATATATATATATATATATATATATATATATATATATATATATATAAACCTGTAATTATCAATAGAAACAGTTTTTCTCTCCATCAGCATGGTTGATGCTAACTGAATTACTGTAGAACAAAAGAAAGTAACAGGGTAACCCATTCAATCTATTCGACATTAGCCATGACAGATAAAGTAAATAAATCTGTAGAGATTCCTGATCGCTCTGAAGTGAGATGGCATAAACATCTTATTATCGTCATCTGTCCCCTGATCGTGTGTGGTCGTAAGGTTACTGCTCAACAGAACACTTAACCAATTCATTCTACATATGTGGGTTGAAATTCGGATAGGTATTCAATTATGCGAAGCGTGCCTTGGCCAAATTATACCTGATGCTGTCGTTCCCTCTTTAGTTCAAACGATAGTCAATGTTCTCCATCTTGAAGGCTCGACTTGACCCCTGACATGTGATCGTTGGTTCAAAAAATCCCTGCTCCCTGTCCGTTGGATTCAGTCTAGGAGAAACTCTCCACCTAGCGATACCGTGTCTTTACAACACTGCCTGCATACGTAGCTATGGATCGCAGTCTCTTCCACAGTGCTAGATGACCATTGACCTTACACAAGAGTTCATCTGTTTTTTTTTAGTTCTGCTAGGTACGTAGCCACTCTTTTCACTTAAAATGTCTCGTAAGAGAACTGGCTGAATCGGCGATGCCCAGACTATTCGGCTAAGAGTCCTAGGTTACATTGTATCAATAGCGCTCCAAAAGTGACCTGATTGAAACAAATATGACCAAAAATAAAAAAAAAAGTAAAACGTATATCGGATACTTAATTCTAGTTTATTTGCCAAGAGAACAACCGCATATTATTTTTTCTTAAAGACAAGATTGTTTCTCGGGATCTCTTCTACAATAGTTCAGATCAATGTTGGGGAAGAGAAATACGTGATAGTATTTTGAATTTTGAAATACAGAAGGATCATTCCAAGCGAGAATATCAGCGTTGGCTTTTGTAAAGAAGTAAAGCAAATGGTATTATTCCCTTTTCGTTTCAGTTGAATTCTTTCTGAAAACAAAAACGCCTAAGAGATTTGAGAATCGATTAAATGTCTCGACGGTACTGACTACTTTCTGTCCTTCCAATGCCTTCCGATTCAAAATGGCTTTTAAGCTGTTCGATTTGAAATAATGTAGTTGTCACCTTATCCACACTTCACCGAGAATTGACTCGATATGATGCCAAGATTGTAGATTTGTGTAAAAAAGAATTTTGATATCTGAACAAATGTTATACTTGCGCAAATACATAGAGAAAAAAAGTTCGTGAGGTATATTCATTAAACAAAACTCACCAGCTTACACAAGTATATACATATACAAATACACGTGTTATTAGACGTATGATAGTCAAGCAGCTCAGTTCCTAGGAAAAGACAGTCAGACCCCAGCACATATGATTTGTTTATAGTGGTGAAGGCTTTGTGCAGAACCAACCAGATTTTTGGAGGTCTGAATACAAATGCCTGGTGCATTACGTGCCACGAGGTCTCCAAATCACATTCCACAGGCTTTGAATTCATAGTTGTCCTTCTCCTAGACCAGTTGCCATCCAAGGCTATAGAACCCATTTTGTGCTGCTATTTACCCATTGCTGGAGGTAGAAGAACAGGATTAATACCTTGCCCAAGGGTTTTAGCACTGGAATTCGAACTCGACTCTCCGATTCCTCAATCCTAGCCGATATCCACTGCTCCACCCTTCCTCCCTAAAAGGGAGGAAAATACACGTAGGTGCATCAATATCGTGGTGATGAAAAGCTGCATAAAATCTATGTTACAGATATCTAATTTTCCGCATAGTCTCTTCACTTTTGTCAAGGATTTTCATTTTATTAGTGACGTCAAACATTATAAATTGAACAATTCTTATCAAAATTTACCTAATAACCATACCACGAGAAAAAAAAACTGAGTGAGCTAAACTTCATACGATGATCCTGTAGATAGATATTAGCGGATAAAATAAATTCATTACATATTTTACTTATTTCAAAAAAGTGTCCTCATTTGTGTTGTTACAGAACTGATTGCAGAAACGTTTCGACTATGTTCGTTCTGGTCATCTAAGGTAGGGAAGGGCAACCTTTTTCTATGTGCTGGCTTAGGGTTTTAAAATCATTCAGTGTGCCAACAGCACACGTATTTTTATACAAGTCAAGTTAAATATACTTGTTGTTCAATATATTTTATATAGTAATATATGGTATTTATACTTTAGTATATATTAAAATTGAAACAGCTAAATACCTTCTTTGTGTTGTAGTAATTATTGGTTCGGACTTCGAGATGTCATTTGCGGCTGCGTGCCATTGGAAAATTGCTTGTAGTACCACGTTTGGCACGCGTGCCGTAGGTTGCTGATCCCTGAATTAGAGAATCTGATGTAAACGTTTCGACCATGTTCGTTCTCTTCATCTAAGGTGTCCATTGTTTTAACTAATATGGTATATATGTTGACTATTCCATCTTTTATTCCTCCGATGTATGTCATTGCTCTTTTCTACCTAATCAGTACCTGAT